ACATGTTTTCGAACTGCTAGGTTGGCAGAAGCTGGGAGAAGTAATGGGAGGTCACTCCATTATGCGGCACTAGGGATTCGAACCGCTGAACTACCAACCTTTCTGATCGACAAGCTCAGCCACCATCCCATCCAAAAGAGGTTATGTAATCATAAGTCATGCCTATCCATTGATTAACATCTTACCTTGAATTCTTTTTCGATGTTAGCAAGCACAGCCAACTCATTGCTTAGTTCCAAGGCAGTCATAACCGGGTCCTCACTTGACAATGACAGATAAGCTGGACTCGCCAGACCTTTGTAGGCATTGATCCTGGATCTAGAATGACTGAAAGAGTCATTCTTTTGCTTCTTGTTGCATTCGCTGCATTTGCAGAAATAATCGTGCGGCCTCTCAATCCGAGCTCCTTTCCTCAGCAGGATGTGCACAATTTCATACTCATGGCAGTGGGCAGCGAGGATAATGGGGGTCACGTCATGGGAGAAGCGAGTTCCGTCCTCATCGTAGGCATAAAAATCATCATGTTGCAACTCCGATTGACTGGGACTTGTAGCCAACCTCTTCCCTTCTGCAAACGCGGGATGGTTCAAAATGGCTTCCACGATTCGTATGTAGCCTTTGCTAATGGCTAAGAGTAGCGCATCTCCAACCCGTGACAAGTTTTCCTTCTTAAGTAAAAGCTCCGTGATTTCCAGGTGCTCATTTGACACAGCCAGTTGTAATGCATTCTGGCCCATGTAATCCACACAGTTCACGTTGAGCGATGTACATTCCTCCAACATTTTACGGACTACAGGGATATTGCCATATTCTGCTGCTTCCAGAAAACGCTCTTCCTCTATAGAAAGGCTGGTTGAGTGGTCATTAAACATATATGCCGGGCCCCGAATAGCAGATCTCCTGCCTTTCTCTCTAGCTACAGTCTGTTGGCGGAAGCCATGACGATTCTCAGCACCTCTACTAAAAAGAAAGAGAGGATTAATGCTTTGCCCATCTTCCCTTTTTTAAGGATACATTTGTCAAGTGCAAGGAAGAAGGAGAGAGACACAAGAAGCTGAACACAGTGGTATCAGAGGTGGTTTTCAACAGGTCCTGACCAGTTCTGGAGAACCAGTAGCGGAAATTTTGAGTAGTTCAAGAACCGGTAATTACCACCTCTGACTGGCCCCACCGCATCTATTCTCCGCCTCCCGAGTCCCAGCCGATTGGGAGGAAATGGGGATCCTTCCCTTGGAGTTGGGAGGGAATTGAGATTTTACAGTATCCTTCCCCTGCAATGCCCACCAAGCCACGCCCACTAAGCCACGCCCACTAAGCCATGCTACACCCACAGAACTGGTAGTAAAAATATTGAATCCCACTACTGACTGATTTGTCAAGTGCAAGGAAGAAGGAGAGAGACACAAGGAGCTGAACACATTGGTATGCTTATTCCTATTCACCTGTAGACAGGAATCTGGTCACATTAAATCTCACATACATACAAAATTACTAGGTATACATTGGTCTCCTTTCAGCTGCTTCCTTCCCATCAGTGACTCAAGGTTAGCCAGCTTCTTCAATCTTCCCCTCAACTCACCTCCAAATTCCACAACATTTTGAAGGCTCTTGTGGAATCTTACTTCAGGCTCTATGCAAACCTTTAAGCTAGATCTTCAGAAAGCTCTTCAACTTCTCTACCATGTTTCCCTGAAAATAAGACAGGGTCTCATTTTCTTTTGACCCCTGAAATACGCGCTTGGCATTATTATCGGGGAGGTTTTATTAATTTTGAGGTTCAGGAGGTGGCAAGCTGGGTCACCCCATGGCCACTCCTATATTGCAATATTTTCAGGGAGGTCTTATTTTCAGGGAAACAGGGTACAGACGAACAAAATAAAATTAATATTTGAAAAAGATGCGTATCCTGTAATCCTTGCACTGTCTGGGTGCAGAATGCTCGAAGTATTTTACTATATTGTAATGTTTAATGTGCTAGGAAACTTAATTGTTTATATACATGGGGTGGTATTAGTCAAATTAATATTGAATTAATTATGTTTAACCCTATTTAATGTTATATTAAAATTAAATCCAATGACCAGTTTTTTTATCTTATCCAGTAAAACTATCCAGTTTTATCTTTTAACAAATGTTTGGCATATATTCCCCATTATATTATATGTCGGCCTCCAAATAGTACAGATGAACAAGCTCAGAAAAGAGTATTTGTAGCTCAGGGTTGAACTATGGGGTCCTTGGTAGTTTTTGAGCTTGGTTGATTTCTTGCAGAGACCCAACCAGGTGTCATCATTAGTGTTAGGCTTTGTCTTCCAGTAATTCTTTGACTTTTTGTACATATTGTGATCTGTTCATGATGACCATGGTTTGGCCTTTGTCTGCTGGTAGAATGATATTAACTAGTTGGATAATGAAATGTCTACGTAGAAACCAATCAAGTTCAGAGAGCACCAAGGACTCCACAAAGCCTGGAAATGGGTGAAAATAGTATTAAAAGGTTTAAAATTTTATGTATTGAAATTGTTTCCTCTAATAACCACTAAAAATATTGAATTTATTTCTAATCCATATTCTCTTCACGTTGCTTTCAAGCTTGATATCATATACTTTTTACACTAGTATATTTTCAAGCTGCATATTTATGTAATTTATGTGTTTACATTTTTACCTACCTTTTTTTACTCAAAGTTTTCTCAAAATGCATATTTAAATGCCTAGCTTGATCATGTTTTAATTGCTGAGTTGGCAGCTTTGCAATGATGGGACCAAAATGAATTCTGTCCATTTAAACTCTAATAACTGCATCCATATAAGTAATATCTAAGTAGTAGATCAGCACCTCTAGCAGGAGTGTAAAACTCAAGGCCAACGGGCTGGATCCGGACTCCAGGGTGCTTAAATCCGGCCCGCAGGGCTGACCTGCAAATATCAAAGGACCAGCCCACAGTGCCTCTGCTGGCCAAAATGATCCACGTGCGCACACACGCTGCCCATTTTTAGCCTCCTGTAGCACTTTGCTAGCCAAAAACAGACCGCGCAAAGGTCTCTGCGCAGCCCATTTTTGGCCAGAAGAGTGCTGCTGGAGGTCGGGGAGGCCGAAAATGGGCCATGCGGGGGTATCGCAGTGCCTCCGCATGACCTGTTTTGGCCAGCAAGGTGCTACAGGAGCCATCCATCCCACCTCCGCCATCCCGCGGAGGAGAACTACAATGCTGGTCTGGCTCTCGAAGAAATCCAGTTTGACACTCCTGGCCTGTAGGAATTTGCTTGCAATTTGCCTTACATTCGGTAGAACTAAAATAATACCTTAAGGAAGAGAGAATGAAAACTGCCGATAGTAATCTTGGCTACTGATTCATCCTATGTACTCATTTGCATTTAATTTCCACTTAAATCAATGTCATTGTAATTATCTCTTCACCTGATTGCAATTACACGGTTTTTCTTTGAAAATTATTTTTTTCAGACATACAAACAATGTATTTAGGGTCAACAGGATAATTATTTCAAAACCTGATCCATATCTAATCGGTGACTTTCAAAACTCTGCATTTTCTTGGAACTGTAAAAATATACCTGTAATAATATATTAGAAGCTCCAATATCATCTGAGATTAGCACCAGAGAATTAGATGGAAATTGGAAAACCTTTCTGAATTCTTTAGTCTTTAAAGGGCTGTCAGATCCATTTTGCTCATAAATTAAAGTTCATGAAATGTTGGCTTAAGCTTTATATTTTAAAAACTGTCTAGTAATCATTACTAATTACAGCTGATGAAAATTTGCTTGTTATCTGAAGTAGCTTCGATTTACTTTGCTCACTATCCTTCCCCAGAACTTTTAAATATTGTAATAGATGCACTGTGAAGTATACTTGCAAGACAATCTTTTCAAATAAAACAAAAATCTGAAGAACTTTCCTAGAGTCAAATTCTTAAACTGAATTGCCTTGCTTTGAAATAAAAATTGGAAAGTTAGAATTGCAGACATTTTCCTGCCAAAAAGACAGTCTAAGTCACCTGCGTCCCCACATATAAGAAAATTCACTTCCTATCCAGACTTACAAAGAAAATGAACAGAATTTGTCTGAAGTAGACACATTTGTGAAATTTTAACAACTGAAGCACATGACTCACATGGAATGCAAAAATCTGGAGGTGAGTCGTGGAATGGTTATCATAGAAACATTCAACCATGTGGAAATAAAGCAACTGGGATGCTTATTCAGTTTTGTTAACATGTATGTCTTGCTAGAGAAAATAACTTTAATTTGATGGGTCTTTATTACAACTTTTTCAAAAATAGCAGAGTAATCAGCATCTGGCTGAAATAAAACTGACATGAATACTAGGATAATACTAATAATACTAACACTAATAATAGTAGGATAGATACATTTGGCCAATTAAGAATACAAAGAAAGGCAATTCCATCTAATACAGCTGTCTATGGAGATTCTCAGTTATCCGTGGTCATAGCTGTCCCCAAGGTGCTTTTTCAAGAGGCAACTTGGTTTTTCTTTGAAGACGTTTTGCTTCTTATCCAAGAAGGTTCTTCAGATCTGACTGGATGGTGGGGAATGGCAGGATTTATACTCCTTGCAGACAGCTGCTCATTTGCATTCTTTTGATAGAGTTGTTGAGGCCACTTGGAGGTTCATTTGTGTTCTCAGGGTGACCTGAGTAGTGCAAATGGATGTGGAGACTTCTTGAACTTCATAGTCCTTTCAGCAGTTCCAAGAAGGTTCCACACCCATTTGCACTACTCAGGTGACACTGAGGACACAGATAAACCTCCAAGTGCTTCAATGACCCTCTAAAAGGATGCAGATGACCAGCT